ATTATTTGAAGGAACTAAAGATCAAGATTGTTAAAAGTAAAAGGAAGGAATATAAAATTGGTTTACTGGATGAAGGTTAAAATACAGGTAGTCCCCAGTTTAAGAACGACTTCCATTCCCAAGGTCTGTCCTTAAGTCAAATTTGTGTGTAAGCCAGAATAGTATTATTGTATATAACTGTATAAGTAGTATTGTGTAATTAACTTGAATCATTCTTAATGCAGGGACTACCTGTAGATATGCTGGTATCTCTGGTAACCCTTAATGGACTTTTGCTGATCAGGACTGAAATAACAAAGCTTTAAGGATTTGTTGATAGATAAGAGATGGGATATGGAAAGAAGAGATCGTTTAATTTTAAGAGAAAGTGATAAGTTACTAAAATTTATACTTGTTGTGATGAAGGGGGAAGTTATTTCTTTATATATTTTTGTTTTCTTTTTCTTTACTATGTTATTTTTTTTCCTATTTTTTCTTTCTTGCATTTTCTTTTCTTTTTATTCTTTTTTCAGTTTGAATTCATTTTTATCTTTGTAATTGTAATTTTTAATAAAATTACTATAAAAAAATGAAGTATTATATTGGTGCCCCAAATGCTCATCAATCAAGCAGCTAACCAGGAAGAGATATCATACCTTGCAGGTAGTCCTCACTAACTGACCACTTGTTCAGCGACTGTTCAAAGTTACGACAGCGCTGAACAAAGAGACTTATGACCAGTCCTTGGAATTGTGGCCATTACAGTGTCCTGCAGTCACGCGATCACCATTTGTGATCCTCATTGCCAGCTTTCGATGAGCAAAGTCAATGGGGAAGCCGGCAGGTCAAAAATGGCGATTATGTGATGTCACACTTAACAACTGCACGGGATTCACTTAACGACCGCAACCGGAAGTGCCGCAACTGTTGTAGTAAGTCGGCACAGTAAGGTGACATCATGGTTTGCAACTGCATTGTTTAGCAACAGAGTTGCTGATCCCAATTTCCATCATTAGAGGACTACCTGTATTTTTACAATTAAAAAAATAAAATAAAATTGCATATGTAAATTTTAAGTTACGTTCTCTTCATAGCCTCTGAGGATACGATACAGAAAAATCTGGCAACCTAAGAAAATATGTCTATTTTCCTTTGACTTGATCAAGTATTAAAGATTACTGCTAAGGCAGAGGAAGGCAGGGTTTTTTTTTTTTCACATAGAAGTCCGCTGGTGTTCACAAAATATTTTGGATGGCTGCATGAATGGGTAGGGCTGATAGTGTACACACGCGCACACATACACATCACCGTTCATACAGCCACATCTCCCCACTGGAGGCATAATAGCCACAGGATGGGGGGAGCTAAACCTTCTTCCTCCATTGATTCTGATACTTAAAAAACCACTGCTTTTGCAACTCTATTTTTAAGCATGCCCTCATTGTGTTCCTTGCAGTTCCATTAAGGGCTGTTCTGTTGGGGTGGGTGAGAAGACAGGACCAAGACCCCAGCCATACAGAGTGGGCAGGAAATGCGTATGGCATGCCTCCAAATATTCTCAGCCTTTATGGCCAGGGAAAAACAGAAACAATTATTACAGAACATTCATTTCAGGAAACTGGATTTACTTGTATTTATTCCACCAAAGAAGTTGCCAGGAAAAAAAAAAACACCCTCTGGCAGAATTATATTTTACCAGTTAAACATTCAACAGAGATTTTGTTTATATGTATATAATTACAACATTCAAAATAGTAAGCATTCTTCGTTTTGTGCTTGGCAATCCAACTGTGAAACTAAGTATCCTAAGTATCAAGAAATCTAGAAGATGAATTAAATGTTGATCTGGGGCACTCTTGTAGGGGAGGGACAACAGACAAGATAAACTAAAAATCCTACCATCTCAAACCTACTGTTAACTAAATTTTAAGAAAATAATTCTAACACTTGGAGAATAATCAGTTGAGTTTGGGAGAGCTTTCCTATAAATCATAAATAGGAAATATTAACTCCTATTTGCACAAAATCTCCCACCCCAAATGATTATTTTGACTGAATTTCCTCTCGCTAACCAACCTGTTGCTTACTATTTCATATACATAAGTGTTTGTTGGCATGATTTAAAATTCATAGAAAATCAGCCTGAGTAATATTTGCAGAGACTTTTTTTCATTCTTCCTTCTTTTTTAATATATGCATGGTCCTTCACATCACATTATGAGGCTGGTTCATAGACTGGGAAAGGATAGGCTATATATAAAGGATTTAGACAAATTTGTCAGTTGTTAAAAGTGGATGGATGAATCTCCTATGCCAGACTTTCTTGGATGGATATGGATCTACATTAAAAGATTCCAGGAAAAGCAAAGGGCAAACTAGCCTGATGCAAACTCACATGCCCTCAGTATAAAACACTCCTGAGTGGTGTGTGAAATAGCTCTGTAATTTCTTTTTCAACAGAGTGGAATACCCTGAAAATGGCAATAAATATTTTATTTTGGTATAGTAAAATTCTGCTTCACTAGACCCTAGACTGATGTAGAGCATAACTCATTCAGTCAGCTGTACTGTACCACTAAGAAGTAACTGGGATTTTAGCATGCTTACTTTTGGTTTGCACCAGTTGTGATTTGTACCATAATTTTTAAACCTGAAAAAAAAGGGGGGGGGGAGGGTAAAAGAAACTACACTGGTTTAGAGTATCCATTTCACCAAAATTAGCAGCTTAAACACCTAACTGACATTGAAAAATCCAGTGACAGTGCAAGATAAAGAATATTTTAAAGCTTTTCAGACAGCAGTGCTTTTCTCACTCTTTCCTCCACAGTTGACACCCACTATTTAGTAGTAGCGATACATCCACCAGTTTCTAAAATTTAATACTAATGTTGACAAGATGTCACTTACATCAATAGTGTTCCAAAACTACTTGGAACCTGTTTTAGAACAAGAGTTTTTTCTTCTACATTTGGCAGTCTCTTTTCAAAGTATAATAATATTCATCATAATAAAAAACAAGAGGGGGGACATGAAGCTTCATGGAAACTCAAGGTCCACTTATTACAAAAATGCTACCATTTGTTACAAATGGTCAAGCAACAAATTAAATATCAGGTTTTTTTGCTCTGTTATTTTCTACGAAGTGCATTCTTTGGATCACCAGGAGTGTTGAGTAAAGCTGAAGGTGATCTGGAACAAACTGTCATAGGCCAGCATGTTTAGTTTATTAAGCTTTGACTGTATCAACCTGCTGGCTTCTTTATATTTCAGGAAACTTCTCAGTTAGTTGCTTTAGCCATACAGCTGCCACATCCATAGATTGGAAGGCCAAGAACAAGAGTGAATACAATTATGTTTTGAACTAGTTAGGCACTGTTTAAATAACTGACATCCATACCATTAGTTGTTGGCAATTTAGTTTCTCAAATGTTATGGAGTCAGAGATACTTGCGAGTGTTTATTTCCTGGAAACTAACAGCTCAGGATCGTCCGATGTTCAACCAGAGAGAGAAAATTCATAACCAATTATAGTAATTTAAGCAAGAATTCATAGGTTGCGTTAATTATTCCCCAAGAAATCAGGGACCGGTGATAATTCAGATGGGCTCCTCGGAAGAGATGTGTCAGTTTCCTGTCACGCTCCAGCCAAATCTTCATAAAGACTGTGGAAAAAGACTGGAATTCCCCACCAATTTGCGACTGCATGCGGGCTTTTACAACATTCACTGGGAAAAACAGAAATCCCAACATAGCACCCAATACCCCTCCACATATGAAATCATTGATCAGATGAGTACTATAAGTTGTTGCTTCTGGCAAGCACTGCTTGATGGGTCCTCGCAGGCCAAAAAACAGAGCATTGCTAGGACCATTCCGAAGCAGGATTGGCACCAAGCCCCGATAATATTCCCTGGCCCCATGCTCTCGAAGAACTCTGAATGCTTGGAAAGTGTTTGTAAATTTGTCATGATGTTTGTAGTCCTGCAGAAGTGTCTGCACACGCTCAAAAGGGGTCAGGACAGCTTCTGTGGTCCCAGCAAGCACAGCTGCTAAGCTCCGGGCCAAGATTTCAGGTGCACTTATGTGTCTTAGGAGCACGGAAGACAAGTCCTCATATAGGCCAAACATTAATGCCAGGGTTGTGCTCTTCTGCATCAGTGGAGGAAGGATACCTCGGTACAAATTTCTGATCCCATCTTTCTGTAGCTGACATATTGCGTCTCTGGTTCGTACCCCATACAGCTGTTGCCGAAAGAGGACTTTCTGGATTGGAAAAGTTATTCCAACATTTGTAATGGCTGCACAATAACCACAGAAGTAATGTTTGCCTGAGTTCACTTTTACAATGCAATTACCAGTTTGATCTGCCTTTGACTTGTTAAGAAAAAGGTCTTCTGAATCCATCATGCTGCTTGCTGTGTCCTCACATAGGTATTCTCTTCTCCTACAAGAAGTAAAGGTGATTGAACAAAGCCAGAAGCTACTTGCCTGCACTTTAGGTAGAAAAATAACCACATAACAAGAGCTTTAACACGCCTATTCATTTGTTTTCTGAAAGGTCTCTAGTTCTCTAAATACTGAATTTCAGAGAACATCCTTCTTCAAAAGTACTGAGAGTATGTTCTCAACTCCTGCTTTCCTTGTAATAATATAAATTACCATGAAAATATTTCCATGGAACGCATTATAAAAGATTTGAAAATATTTAATTTCCAGGGTCTCTGCCAACCAACCGATACTATACCCTTTCCCAATGGACACACCATTTCGGTGTATCCAGTGTCTTCTCAATGGAATTAATCCTTGGACAGTATCCTACATATTAATACTGATCAGCATTTTACAATATTCCTTACTCCAGCAACTGTTCCCCTGTTCTCTTTCATAATGAATTTATTTCTTTAAAAAATAAAAATAATTTTTGACTTCCACAGAGCTACAGACCTCCTACTTCTATCCTGTCCTTCTTTGGATTTAAATAAAATACTAGATGCACAGACACTCTTCAGCATTTCCAACATCTTTTAAAAATTAACCAGCCTAAAGAAGTGCCTACCTTTCTGCAATTAATCAAGAGTGGAAAAAACTGCAAGCCAAATAAAAGAAAACATAAAATAAAAACAAGAGCTTAATGTGCCTCAGTTTGCTTTTCTTTTGCCTTGTTACAACTTGCTTTTCTTTTTGCAAACTCAGTTTTATTCAAACATATTATACTAAAATATGATTTAGGAATAGCTAGTGACTAAGCCAGTATGTATTTATAACTTTATTTTTTATTTAGCCTTGTCTCATCCACCCTTAATTTAATTCCTTAATTTATTTTTTTTCTTCTTTCGAGTCAGTGTTGACTCCTAGTGACTGCCTGGACCAGTCCCTGCAGTTTCTTGGCAAGGTTTTCGGAAGTGGTTTGCCATTGCCTCCTTCCTAGGCTGAGAGAGACTGACTGACTCAAAGTCACCCAGCTGGCTTTCATGCCTAAGGTAGGACTAGAACTCATGATCTCCCACTTTCTAGCCTAGTGCATTAACCACTACACCAAAGTGGATCATCACTACTTATTATTCAAAATAAAAGAGGGGGGAAAGTAAGTCAATCCAATGGAGAAAGAGGTTATCATACACAGCCTTTAAAAGGGAAAAGCTCTGCAGGCATTGCTTCCTTTTTTTTCTTTCTTGCTATCTTCCTGCACTTCACTCAGCTAAACAAATATATAAATTGCTTCAAGTCCACTCTTCTTTCTCAGTTTCATTTTCTGGTTTTCTTTCCCAACCTTGAGTAAACACCTTTTTTTCTTTTTTTAAGATCACTTTCAGAAAGAAAGAAGGATAAAGACATCATGAATTCTAACCGCCATGGTCAAAAGGGAATTAACAGAAAGCCTCAGCTGCAGATTAATGCTCCTCCCACCAAGGTACCTATTCTCTGGATTAGTAATGAGGGGAGGGGCAGACTCAGCTACCACCACCAAGTTTTCTACTCATTATTTAGCAATTAGATTAGCCAACAGAAGAACTCTATCGTTTTACTGAGGCCCATAGGCTGCCACCTCTCCCTTCCCTATCCCATGTATATAATGCAGCACTTCAACCCAGTAGAAATCTGCCTTTTTTTTTTTTAAATTGCTGTGAATTGCTATGGGTCCTTGAGTGCCAGGTGGCATTCAAGTTTAATACATTATTATTGTTGTTGTTGCCTTAATGGTTTAGGGCTATCTTTCTGATAGCAAAAATATATAAATGACTGTACAGGAGATATATACACTCCCATGTTGAGCCCAAACTGCAGAAAGGGACTACATAATGATGACTCATAGGTGTTTTGTCTTTATTACATTTTGGTTTAAACTTCCAAATCAGCAGCCACCTGAGCAAAACAGGAGTATCCTGTGCCAGATTCTGATGGTCCTCAACGATTCTTGATTATCTATAATTATATTCTTCATTAGCAATGCATTTTCATTTCCCATTATATATTAAAGCACATAGTAAACAAGAAGGCCAAAAACATTTGGCAACATAAATACAAAATTTATATAATACAGGTAGGAGTGTGTGATGACATGTGTGATGTTAATGATTATTATATTGCATTCTGGCCAATTCCAGAAGTAGCCTCCATCTATTCCAGAGCCTCAGTATCAATTGACACGTTACCTTCAGCTTACTTTCTATCATCTGATCTTTTGGCTTTGCAATAGAATTTTATTATTAATGAGGGCCGAGTTGTCTAAGGAACTGCTCCAAGTCTTTCCAGATATTCAGAATAATTAGACGGTGTTAAAATAATGATTACTTACATTTCATTAAATATTTCTGTAGCTCTCTAACTCATTGGGTAAGCTTTACCCTAAAACCACACTGAGGTAAAAAGTACCTTAGCTACTTTCTACTCTGGCCCAGTCATGAACAGAAACATTGATATTTTTAGTGTTCTGAGTAGGGAAGTATTCCTACTGCAACAGAACCTTCTGCACATGTAAAGCCAGTTATTGATAAGCTGTATTATTATGAAAGTTAACAAGCTTTTAGGTAGTTAGTCTGCTCATTGCAAAAAACAGCACTGTTTCAGTGTAGAATAATTGGGAAACTGCAGTTAAATACAGAATGTAGCTGGTTAGCTGATAAACCCTGAGAATATATAATACCTGATGGAGTAAGTTCACTGAAGTTTATTTCTGAGACCAATTTGAAATGCTATCCTCCCCTTTTAAAACTCTACCCAGCCTGGGTCCTGGATATCTAAAGGAATCTCAGTTTCCCTTGTATTCTCCATTTTCTTCTAATGAGGCATGACAGTAGAATTAGAACTCTTTCTAATGCGGCATCTTAAGGAGCATAACTGGAGCCTACATTCATTTTTTCCCACTGCCAGACAAAGGTGGTTTTTGTCTTCCTATGTGTTATCTGAATAGCTTTATCATCTGCACTATCAATAAAAAAAAACTGTCATGGTAACCAAGTATTTATATCTGGCAAATAAAACTGCACTGTACAGTAGTCTGAAGTACAAAGCAATCCAATTTTTTTTAATTATCCTTATTTTCTCTATTACACAATTAATTTGTTGCATAAGTCTGCTACTGATCTACCTTTAAACTTGTCTTTCCAGCCCCATTCCTGTTTGAGCAAAAGCAGGTCAGTAGCAATCATTTTAAATCTTCCTCTTACTTTTTTTTTATCCATGCGTTATCTATTTTTTTATACGCTTTCACCTCCAAATTCTGCTTGGAATTACCCTGACAGCTTTCTCTCTCTCTTTCTCTCATCCCCTATTTCCAACTCAAAAAGAAAACAAAATACAAGTTTTATCCCAACTCAATTCTATCTCTAGAAGAGGCTAATTTAGGAAAAATAAAAAGACAGTTGAGGAATGGGAGTATTTTTATTGCAAATAAATACAGAATTGGAAACTAGAAAAGTACAAGACTGGATTTAGAAAAGGAGGAAAATCCATCCTTTAGCTTCATATATTACTCTTAAGAGGAAGGGTAGGAATGAGTTGAAGTTCCACAAACAAGTAGAGATGGAATACAATGCTGTCTATTCTATTAATGCTTTTCCTTAATTCTGCACTTCCTTGGAAGGCACTCCACAGAAACTCCAAGATGCCTGTACTACAGTATATTCCTATAGGATGTAGGAATTGGTTGGTTGCTCTGATTTTCCACTTTTAATGTTGCTTTCATTTACCTTTTTATGTTCAAATTTTTACTGTTCTACCCCAGTAAGGCAGTATAGAAATCAAATAATGTAAAAGGTTAGATACTAGTTCCAGCAATTACATTCTACCAACTAAACGCCCAAAAAAAATGGACAATGATGAAAGGCAATTGTTTTAGTGAAATAGAAAATATTGTTCTAACTACACTGAGGAAGTATCATAATACAGTGATAATTTATCACTATATTGATAAATTATCAATAGAGAGGGAAGAAAATGGACCCACCAATATACAGATAGTCCCCAGTTTAAGAACAAGTTCCATTCCCAAGGTCTGAACTTAAGTTGAATTTGTATGTAAGCCAGAACAGTATTATTGAATTAAGTATTGTGTAATGAACTCAAACCATGGTGTATTTAACTTGAATTTTGCTACAATAGGCTCTGTTCTTAACTATGGGTCATTCATAAATTGGGAGTTCTTAACCTGGGGACTACCAGGTTACTGCATACCCAAATTCAGAGAAAACAATGCCTGCCTATTCAGCATAATTCAGACTGCATTCATGCGACATACAGAGAGAACAGTGGAGAATTCACTAAGATTCACACCTGCTAGTAAGGACAGAAGAATATTAAAACTTCCTTCACTATCCTTCCACTGGGGCACAGATTCATTAGGAACCAGTCTACATGTTAGTTTATCCAAGCTCTATCTGCTTTGTCAGGCAGCACCACCTTTCAAGATGTGATAACAATAGCTTAAGAGATAGTGATAAGTTACCAAAATTGTTTGTACTTGTCATGATAAAGGGGGAAGTTACTTCTTTTTTTCTTTCTTTTTCTTTCTATTCTTTTTCTGCACTTTCTGTTTTTCTATTTATATTACTGTAGCTTGTATTGGTTTTTACTTTTTAAATTGTAATCTTAATAAAAATTATTTGAAAAACAATGGGATAACGATAGCCTACATGGGGGTGTAAACTTATTATATCGGACCCATCATGGTGCAAATTAGATAATTACCTTTTCTATATGATACAAAGCAAGATTTTCTCTCTATAAGTAGCATTCTGGATCAGGTCTTCAAACTGTTCTGCCTAAAAAGGAATCAATAGTCTTGTTTTATTAGGACTACCTGATTTGGCTGCAAAAATTAGTTGAGGAGAAGATGGCAGTAAAGAGACATAGAAAATTAGCTCTACTGCCATCTAGTGCTCACGATGACTTGTTTATTAAAAGAACATTTAATTTATACTTCAGCATTTGTCTGAAATTCTTCAATTCACCATCTCCATTCATAAAATATTCTGTCAACTTCTCTCCACCCACTGTGGTAAATTTGCCCTATCAGTTGGGTAGGAAAAAAACTTCCTGTAACTTTCTTCTTGAGCATGATGAGATAGAGATTTTTCATGAGAGTACAGTCATAATACATGCCCCCAAATCACTAAGTTTTAGAATTTGAAGGGATTCTGAATGCTATATACTATAATGCTATATATTCCAATTACACCAACATTAACTTAAGGCCCATCTAGCCTCTGGAATCAAGTTTGTTTTCTATTATCTAACATTTAGCTAATGCCTGTTTCCTTGCTATTTCTATCCATTAGTTGTATTCCATCATAACGATATTGGCTTCCCACTATACATCCTTCCTCAAGTATAAGCCTATGAGAAACAAGTAGAAGAACACCTGTTATTCTTTTCTGATTTCATCCTTAAATTTTGCAACATGTTTTTGGAAGTTGCCCATCTTTTTCTTGATGCAAATTTCATATCTAACTAAAAGCAAATGGTTACCTATGCTGACATTTGCTACTTATCTGTTATGATTTACTTAAACTACACATGCTCTATACTTCAAATATAAGCCAATTATATTTTCATAAAGACCTATGAAGGTATTCAAAGAATTTCACAAATAATCCCAGTCATTTATTTTTTTAATCTGTTCAATCGTGTCCAGTTCTCAGAGACTGTCTGGACAAGTCCCTGCAGTCTTCTTGGCAAGTTTTTTTCAGAAGTGGTTTGCCAATGCCTCCTTCCTAGGGCTGAGAGAAACTCAGTATTGTAATGATGAAGTACATATGATTTGCCAGTGAGATATTAAAGCTTCACATAGCTAAAATTATTATAAGTATTATATTGTACAACTATTAGTTCCCCCCAAAATAAAAACAAATATTTAAAAATCCATGTTAGAACTACACTTTTATTTAGCCCACACATCAGTCATAAAAGCTGTCCTGATTTTGAGATCTTGCATATTTTTGCAAATTTGGAGTTGGTCTAATAAAGATTCTATCATGATATAAATGTGCAATTTCTTTTACAGCCAATACTGCCATCGTGTTTTTGTAATACAGTATCTAAACTGTTAAATATAACGGGGCCTAAGTGCAAATGAAAGCGGAAGTCTCTGCTATAAACTCAGAGAGGTCAATATTCTATACTTTTAAATCCTCTGCAATCCAAAAAGTTTTATCTTAACCTAGTAAAGATATATCAAATTACCAGGTGGACATCAGGAAAAAGATTTTTAAAAATGCCCATGGTTTAATTTAATGGATGGTGACTATAAGCCTAAGATCCCAGACACAGTATGCACATACAGTACACACATAATTTATGAGGCATTTTGCAACCAAATTTGATTTGGTCCCTGCAAATTTGGGGATGCCATTTTGGGAGTTCATATGGATTTACACAACAGTATGTCCCGAGTTCTACAGGATTAGCCCACCACGGGACTGAGTAGGTATTTCGAGGGCCGCATTGTTAACCTCGCTGCTCTGCCTTTCCAAGAAGGATGACCCAGGTTCATCCCATTTTTGCCCTGTATCGGTTTTCCACCTAGGAAAAGCAGTTCAGGCCGACAAAAAAAAAACACCACCATAAAAGGCAGGATGCAATCCTGTTTGGAGGTCAATATATTAACAGAGTCTGGGATTGGTTAATCTGAAACGCCCTTATTCTCCTCACCCTGCCTTTGCCCGACGTCAGCCGCGAGTACTTGCAGAGCAGCCTGGCCTGCCGCCGCTCCTTTCCTTCACCTCCTTATCTCCATTTTGCCCGCCTGCCTGCCTGCTTCTTCGCTTGCCTGCCGCCGCCTTTTCTCCTCCTTCCGCCATCTCCTCACCTGAGCTACTCCTGACCAATCCCCGCCAACTCGCTCACCCGCGCGGGCTTCATGGCGGCGGCACCGCTGCTCCTCACGTGCATGTTGCGCTCAGGCGGACCTGGGCGCAGAAGCGCAACGCGGCGGCCTGAACTGACAGGAGACCCCGGACCGGCCGGGGCGCAGCCCTTCGCCACGCCCTCCCCGCGCGCCGCAGAGACGCGTGACGCCAGCAAGGGAAGGGCACGTGACTGGCGCCTCCCGCCCGCTCCCCTTCCGCGGAGGCCGGGTGGCCGTGGCGCTCGTGCTTTGTCTGCATCAAAGCAAAGGGGGACCGCTTGGCTGCTTCTCCTGCAGAAAGAAGGCGGGCCGGGGCCGGGCGCTCTCGCGAATGCCTTGGCTTTAAGGGAGGGAGGGGAGAAAAGGGCTTCCTGTGTTGCCTGAACGGAGGCGGCGCAGAGAAGGCTAGGGGCAAATGCAGAAAGTTCAGGCGGCTGTCTCGCGAGGTCCCACCATTCATACCCCTAAGAAGGATGAAGGGGGGAAATAGTGGCAGGCTATAGGACGGGGTTCCCCAGGGAGCTCAGTAGCGACCCCCAAGGGTCGATGGGACAATCCCAGGGGTCGATAAAGGGCTGGGGGTCAAAAGGTGGTTGATAAATGATGCAAGGTAGTTTGGGGCCAGTTAATCTTTTGGGGTCTCCATAGGGCTCCGTGCCAGTCCCCAGTCCTGAAGGTAGGTGACTAGTGGTGAGACAGCGTTACCCAGGGCTGGATGATCAGCCGCCTGCAAGAGTAGCGTTGAGTTGTCTCTATTATTGTTGTTATTCGTAATACTATTAGTTAAAGTAGTCTTTATTAAATTATTTTCATATAATAAATGCTTGGGGGTTGATGAACAGTCTGAAGCTTCATGAAGGGGTCAATGAGCTGAAGAGTGGGAATCCCTGTTACGGGAAGTCATGTTGTGTAACTCTGACACTGTAGCCTCCTCATGTTGGCTCCCTAAAAAGCTGTTCACATGTGGATTCAGGTATCAACTGACAGAAAATTTCTACACCACTTCCCTTCCAGAGCATTCAGACAAAAAACTAAGGGACTCCTGCCCCCCAGGTGACACTCCGCTCAAGGCATCTGTTGAAGTGGACTCATGCAAGCAACCACAGCTGTTGTAATGGTATTAGTCTTTAAAGTGCCACAAAAACACACAATCCGTTGCATCATTTATGTGGTACCCAGGAAATGAATGTACAATAAAAATTATAAATGCACAATAAAAAATTATTTACAAGAGGGAAGAGAGAGTGTCTTTCTTGCTTCTTAGGAAGGATTTCTATAATATGTCGTTCTTAAAAATATTACTTATTTACTTGCAGTGGCTTAACACCATAAATAATAAAGCTACTACTAGAGACTCCTGTGTGTTGAAATGTACTCCCTAGCATTATTTTCTATAGTGCCACCTCAAAATATGCATAATTATTTTTTAACTTAAAACAGGAAAAGGAAAAAAAATTGCAGTCTGCAACACTGATTTGTTCCCATGAAATAAATTTTCATCTCAGTGAATTTCTTCTAAGCAAACTCTTCATTTTTTAAAAAATTCTTCAGCGATGTCAGCTATTGCTTCACAATGGCTAAAATATTTTTTCCTTTGACTATGTCTTTAAACATTACATAGAATAGAATAGTAGAATAGAATAAACTTTATTGTCATTACACTATACACCAAGTGCATAATAAAATGAAATTGATTGATTTATATTTCAATATAATTATCATATGCATAGGAACTATCAAAACTTGTGCAAAGCAATTGATAAATCTGTTAGAAATTACCATAAGATGAATAAGAATGTGAAAATGGATTGCTGATTTGGTTTCTCTCCTGTGCCATTATCCATCAATAATAAGATCATCGAGAGTTTTGTTTTGTTTTTTCACACAAGCTTTTTAAAATTCTAAAATTCTAGAAAAAACAGAATTTTATGTCACCAAATGGCAGGAAAAAATGCATCATAAAGTTCTTCCTATGATTCATTTCATCAGGAATTTATCATACAATATCACTGTGTTTAAGGGTATTCTGGTACAGAGGCATCTACAGGGAAGTATCAAAAAAGTCAGGATGACAGCTATGACTGACCAAAACCCTGCCCATGTTTTATGTGTGTGGCAATGTTTCTAACCATTACAACCATAATGTTCAGCCATATTATGGATCTTGTAGAAATAACCCACACCAACTAAACCCTTTCCATGATTGCTGATGTGGTTTATCCCATTGATTTACAAAGGGAAGGTCTCCATATCTTGTCATGAACTTTTCATGTGGCAGGAGATAGAGATGCATTTTAGGGCACATTTCCCATTTACAAGGGGAGAACTAGGCCAGCTTGATTTGCTGGAATGAATAGTGTGGCCCTGAATGATTTCCTTATGGTATTAGTGAGCATTTAAAATGCACACAGAATGACTTAGAATGGGGCTCCTCAATCTTTTGGGGTTGGTGAACACATCTTGGTTTTAGGCAGTTCATTGTAGGCACGTTGTTATAGGTAGTGTGACCAGCCAATGCTTCAATCCTATTTCCCTTTGCACAATACAATAAGTATTTCTCAGAAAACCGCACTAGCAAAGTTCACAAAAAGTTCACACAGGGAAATCACTGGCATACATGTATACAAACAAAACAAGAGCAGATGACACCCAGGCAAAACCCACTCCATAACAAATATAAATAAACCATCATGGCTGGGTCATGTATGTGCTGGAGCCCTAATTGGATGAGGGTGCTATTGCTGTTTGGATCGCTGTTTTATTGTTTCATTATTGTTTGTAGGTGTGTGTACTGCGATTTTGTATTCTTTTCATTAGGGTTTGTTGCTTTTTTTGAAGCCACCCAGAGTAACCTTGGTTGAGTTTGGCAGCCACATAAAGAAATAGCTTTGCTCCCCTCCCCCAACCCCAGGTGTCCATCAGGACAGTGTATACCTATCATAGCTGAAGCTGGCAAGGAGGGAACCCCAATTCTTGGGCCAGATAGAATCATGACATAAACAGCAGGAATTCCCACTTATCTTGCCTACCAAATATGTGGACGACATTGTTGCATTGGGAAAAGGGACAGCACTGCCTTTGGTCCTCCCCATTGATGCTGAACTATCAGTCTCATCCCTGGAACTTGGATTCCCCTCCAAACACCGCTAGGCAATGTCAAAGACAGTGTGGCCTGCCCAAAAGTTTTATCAATTATAAGTTTTAAAAAAGCTTTCTTCATCCCTCCTCTTCCCACCAATTCTTCTACCTCTTTTATGAAGAAAAAGGATGGCTCCTTATGTGTATTGTAGGCCATGATTACAGTACCAGCTCCTGAATTAAGGATTGTTACCTTCTTCCCATCATCTTTTGTTGACAGCTGCAGAAGGCTCACATTATCTCCAAATCTGATCTCAGGGCAGTTTATAATTTGTTTAGCAGTTTAGGCAGTTTAGGTGGTTCATTGTAGGCACATTGTTATAGGTAGTGTGACCGGCATGAAAGAGAGACCTAAATATTAGCTGCCTTTTGTACTTGTTATGGGAAGTTTGAAGTAATGTTGTTTGGATTAGGGCCTAGTTTGTCAGTCTTCATGAGATTTAGAAATCGTATTTTTTCACGATCTTGTGGTCCTTGTTTGGACAATTTGGCTACTTAGAGGATCCTATTCTCCACCCTGAACAAGGTTAGGTAATCCTTCAGTTTCTTCATTAATGCAAGCTGTGTGCCAGGGGTTCCTACCCTTTTTGCCATCACACCTCCCTTTAGTGTAATCTTAATGTACGCACCTCCCCTAAAAATCCAAACACCAAAATAAACACAAATGAACAATGAAAACAATGCAATGAAGCTTTGGGAAAGGTGGATTTATTGTAACAATGTATAACTAAAAGCTTCTTCACACCTCACCTGGCCTCTGTCTGCATCTCCCCAAGGGAGGTACGCCTCACAGTTTGGGAAAACCTGCTCTATGCTAATCTAGAGAAATGTGCCTTTGATCTACTGTTTAGATTATTTGGATGAATGTATTACCTTGAAAAGAGTTATCCAAATGAAGTATACTGTATTCTGTGGCTAATTTTGCTGTACTAATTGTACTGCTGACTTGAGGGTCAAGAGATTCTCTTGAGGTAGAATTCCATACTTGCTACAGGAAGTACGGGTAGAATTCCAAGGCCCAGCAAGTCTTTATATTACTCAAGTTGACATTAACTTCTCAGCTTGTCCCCCCCTTCCAAATGCCCCCCCCCCCCCTTGGCTGTACAGACTGATGCTTCCAATTTTGCCTTGGGAGCTGTACAGTTACAGCTTGCTCCAGAGCTTGGAGGTACCATCTTTTTTCAGCAATCTCTTCCAGCCAAAAGGAACCATGATGTTTTAACGAAGATTCTAGGCTTATTCCTAGAGAATATCTGTATTCTCACCCCATGCTCACTCAACCATACATCTGCTTTTTGACTGTTCTCTCTTGCCTCTTACACACATCTCCATTCCACTATTCACACATCTCAGTATGTCAAAGAGGAAAAATTTGAGGATGAACGTATTTTGGACTCCCAGCACAAGAGGGGCAGACTGGAATATTTGCTTCATGGAAGTGCAACCAAGCCACAGGACGATCACTGTAAGTGGCCAGTGACATACCCACCCCTGCCTAATTCAACAGTTACATTTGCAATACTTCCACAAGGCCAAACCAACGGACTAGCCCCATGTTCCAGCTTTGGTGCCTTCCAACAGTTCTAACTCTGAGCAAGAGGGGAAGTGGCTGGGGAAGGTGAGGGAGACATTTCTATGACTGTGGAGGAAGAGATGGAGCTTGCTCCACCTGAAGTTGAGAGGGAAAGTTCTGAAGTGGGGGGATGGTGAAATAGTAGAGACAGAACCCCCGCCCCCCAGCCCTTTCTGACATCCCAGGGCACCAATGGGAAGGGTTGGAGTTTTGAAAGGGGGAGATGCTGTTGGCTCTCTCCAAAAAATAAATACAGTTGGAAAGAAAGACACAGCCAGTGAAAGGGAAGGGGAGATGCACCTAGCATCGCCAGATGCAAAATAATAGGGGAAGGAGAAAATAGGGAGATGGCATAGGGGCTGAACTCAGCAAGACAGATATCAGAACTTGTGTCATTAATGGCAAATTAATTGTGGGCTGATTCTTTGGGCTGTACTATGTGGAACAGAGTTCTGCATACAGCACTAGAGCATTATATTGTTTTTACCCTCTTTTATAATACAGTATTCCCCCCCCTTTTTTTATTTACTCTTATCTCTCTGTTGTATTAAATGCAATTGTATGTTGGGCCTGTGACCTGAAATAAAGTAATTGAACTGAAATCGAAAGGCAGAAACAGGCAATTCTTAGGCCATACAAAATCATTATCTAAACATGCAACAAGTACCACTGATGTAGATGGAGTCCTTTATTTCAGTCATTGACCAGCAAAGTTTACATTCAATGTAAAATTAAAGCTGTCCCATTATGCCAATAATTTAACCTGCGTTCTGTAAGAATAACTAGGGTCTAAAGTCCTAGCACAAATATAGAAATATAATACCAATACCATTAAGGTTATATATATAAAATTAGGATTTCAAATCAATGATAAATACAACTGTATTATGTAACAGTATACCTGTGTAAGAGGTATGCTATTGTATAACACTATATAATGCTGAAAATTACAAAATACAAATAGATAGACAGTATATACAATCACTAAATTACTGAAATCTATTTCAAACTGAATTTTAAAGGTATGATTGTAGTACTATGGAGCAGAAATTTAGGTATGGTATAAAAGGGTTGACAGTATCATTGATGCTGAAGGCTATGAAAAGAACAACCAAAGTCTGATGACTAGAAAGAGTGAGGGAAAAGGCCTAGGATTTAAACTTTGGGACTGAAATGCATATTCAGCTTGATTCCTGTGTCTGCAGTAGGCAGATCCTCTGCATATATATGATTTATTTCTTGTCTGCAAGAAAGCAACTTATCTTGCTATAATAAATTTATGAAGCTTCTGCTGTTGATGGATGTTGGTTGAGTTTTTGGAGAATCAAAATCTGTTGAGTTCTTGGTGCTCTCTGAGCTTGGTTGTTTGCTTGCAGACATTTCATTACCCAACTAGGCAACATGATCAGTGCTAGTGAGTGTGGGGTTTGCTCCCTGTTTATATACAGTAGCTTGCCCAGCCAGTATTGGTGGGGGTCTGGTTTTCTCCTTGGTAGTTCCTTGATTAGGGTATTGTTTTCTGCTTGATTGTTTGTCTGGTATTAATCCCTACTTATCTGGGTGTTGGCTGCTGAAGGGAATATGTTCTGGTCTTTTTTTTTGTCCTTCTTAGCTTTCCTATTGTCTCTTTTGAATGGTGTGTAAATGTGGTTTATCTCTGTGTGTCTATTGATGGCTGAATATCAGTAGACACTGATGGCTGAATATCAACAGAATATCAGCCATCAATAGACACATAGAGATAAACCATATTTACACACCATTCAAAAGAGTATGTTCAGTGAGACTTCCAGAAATTTTTAGCATGGGGTTGAAACTCAAAGAATTAAAGTTTTACTGCCATCTGGTGGCCTCTCAAGAATTTCAGTCCTGGAGGGGGGGTCATCTGCCCAAATTCTTGCCCTAGTACAAGAGTGGCCCATTAACCATTTGTTGAGCACCCGAACATCATCTTCAACTTATTCCTGGCCCACCATGGAGACAACCTCCTTCTGGCTTCTCCTGCTCTACTTCAAGGTTTTTGTTTTGTTTTTTTTACTTCTGCTGGCACAAACTGAGCCAAACCATCAAATTGTTCTAAGATGTTTAGGGGTGAAGGCTCTGGTCCCTGATTTTCAGTGATACTTACCTCTTGGCAGGGCTGTCCCATTATCCCAAGAAGCCATCTTGCTTACTTCTCTTGCCAACCTGTAGGTTGCAGGAAAAGCAGGGAGAGGAGGAGGAGAAATAGAACTTTTGGGTGCCAAATCTCCTGGTAGGAAAAAGACCCACGTTACCCCATGGAAGGAAAAAGTGGGGAAAGCGGGGAGATCTCTAACCCCACAGAATAATTACTCCATAAGATCAGAGAACTGGCAGCAAGGGATCTGTTCTCCCCTGCTTCTCTCCCCTCCTCCTCCTGCAAAATGGTCCATGTCTTTGGACAGCAAGATCAGCGGAGGGAGGGAAATGGGAGAGAACAACTCTGCTGCTGGCACCAAAAATGAATTCCCCCCACAGAAGGTCCACTTTGTCTCAGGCATGCTGTACAGCTGTCCACCCCCATAGTTTGGGGGGATATTTTGCAGTCTGCTGAAGGCCACTGCTAACCAGCGGTCTTCTGGAAGACCACCAAAGAAGACACATATCAATCAGGAATGCTCCCTGTGGCTTCAGCCCTAAAGTTGCAGTGGGCAGCTGTGCCATAAGGCACACCAGCTGTACTCCAACTCCTTCATGTTTTGGCATGCCAAAAGCACGAGGTGGGGATGTTCCTGACATGTGTCAAACAATATTCTAGAAGATCGCTGGACACATGTATATAACATAACCCAGATGGCAAGATATCAATGGAACAGACAAAAATAAAGTACGAATAATTAAGTAGAAAGTAGAAATAAATGAGAGTCAGTTTGGTGTAGCGGTTAAAGGCATCAGGCTAGAAAGTAGGAGATTCTGAGTTCTAGTCCTGCCTTAGGCCCAAGGCCAGCTGAGTGACCTTGGGCCAGTCACTCTCTTTCAGAACTAGGAAGGAAACAAGGGCAAACCACTTCTGAAAATCTTGCCAAGAAAATTGCAGGGACTTGTCCAAGCAGTCACCAGGAGTCAAAAGTGACTCCAAGGCACCCCGCAAAAAGATCTAATATTTGGACCTGTTTCTTTTCCCATGCCCTGCTCATATGTACCACTCTGGCTGATTATGAATTCTGAAGAATTTGACGTTTGCATAAATATACAGTGGATTTTTTTTTTCTGTTCATGGAGCAAGGTTTTTTCCCATCATATCAGGTATGTTATGCAGACAACTAGTTTCCCAAGATCAGCCAGTGAACTACATGGGAAATAAACCCCGATTTTCTGAGTCCTACTTGGACGTTATTTCACCATCCTTGCATTTTTTTTTGTTAAGAAAATCAAGTTTTTACACAAACAGAAGGTGAAATGTGTATCTATGCATCTTAAACAATATAATAATAATTTACATTTATTGAGGGCTGTGCAACTTAAAAGGAAAATACATTCTTGACCTATACAACATTGTGTGGATCTAACATCTAGGGCAGAAGTACCAATGCATAACTTACTTGGCAATAAGCTCCTACTGAAGGAACTGGAATTAACTTCCAAGTAAGCATGTGAGAGCCCCAGCTTGGTGTAGAGAGCCAGTTTGGGGTAGGGGTTAAGGCATCAAGCTACAGAGCGGAAGACCTGAGTTCTAGTCCCGCCTTAGGCACGAAACCAGCTGGGTGACCTTGGGCCAAGGCACTCCCTCTCAGCCCTGGGAAGGGCAAGCTACTTCCGAAAAACGTTGCCTAGAAAACTGCAGGGACTAGTCCAGGCAGTTGCCAGGAGTCAACGCTGACTCGAAGGCACACACACACAGCGTAAGCATGTGCTGGCCTGGAACACAGCAATGCGCGACTGTGCCTGCCTTACGTTCGGATAAGTTCCACACGCGACCGCCGGCTTGGTCACTCGCAGGGGTCTGACCGCTCGCTTGCGAAGTTGGCAGCAAAACCGCCGCGATGCATTCGGTGTGAGCGGCAAGAGGAGCAGCCACGTCCCCCAGGCGGGCGCTTTCCCCATTTCCGCACTCGTCCACCCACTCCCCCACCCTCCGGGACCCCAGAAATCATGTGATCGCAATGCTAGAGCTACTGAGGAGATGATCTCTCTCTTTTTCCTCCGCCTTCCTTCCCCTGGAAGATCTCTATGATCTGAACGCCCGTGCGCGCTGGAGCGAGGGGAGTGGCTCCCGTCCCCGGGTGTTTTCCTTCGCGCTAGCGATCTGGCCGCGAGCGGGGTGGGTAGGATGCTGGGAGAAGGTGAGGCAGTGGATTCCGCCTGATCCATAAAAGAAGACTTGTGGTCGGGATCGACTTGCGGCTATGCTCGCTCATCTGTAAGTCCCATGGAATCGAGTGAGACTTCGAGTAAACTTGCCTAAGATAGGCTTGCAGACTATATACTTTGCTTAAGGCGTTCTGGCTGTTGTTGTCCTGGTGTGTTAATTGTTTTGAATTAATGCCGGGTAAAAGCGTTCTTGCTGTTGTGTGTGGGATGGGGGCAGGAGACAGACTCAGGTCGAGAAACACCTTTATTCCGTAATAACCGCTCCACAAGACTTTGGAGGGGTGGTTTTTACCCACCCCTGAACGGCAGGAAAAAAAAACTGTTTTTAGGAATAAACTGGCAACGCAGAGTAGCTTATTTGGGGACTCTTTGCCTGCCCCATGTCCGCTCCTCCGGTGGTCTCTTACTCAAGCAGATCTGGTTCTCCGGGTCTAAGCACGCAGGGGTTGGAAGTCACTTTAAACTGTTTCTGTGCTGCCGATCTGTTTAAAGTTAAGATGCCCTCAAGTAGATCTGGAGATTGCAGGAGTGTGCAGTTTGTTTGTTTTTTGGATTGCTTTAAAAATGTGAAGATCACAACAAAGAAATGATTCTTCCAGCATTTTATAATAGGCTGGGTGATAAAGTACAAGTTAGTGGGTCCTATATGTCACCTGCCAACACTGCAGGTGTGGGTGGGATGAATTTGCCTCCTTCTGTGCATCATCAAAATCAACAGATATGGGTGATGCTTGGGGCCAGGGAGAGAGCAGGGCGGGGAGGGGAATCCGGTTGCATTTGTGTATGTTTTCTCATGTGAAGTTCAATTTAGTCCCCTGCTTGCTACTGTGTTCAGTGGAGCTTATTGCCAGTATGGGCTGGCAAGCTGAACTCCCACTTCTGCTGCCCTCCCCTAGTCTCTCTGAATTACAATTGAAGGAACACTTTATATACAGGTGGCACGAAGTGCTTTTCAATTTCTGTTCTCAAAATGGTGTTTCAAAAGTTTAAGGTCATGCATTCACATACCAAAACTAAATTAACAAAAGTCAGCTGGCCAACAAATGCAGTAAAGTGACATAGATAGTAGAGCGAATTAAATTCCCAAATTAAATGGGAATTTATTTTTATTAAATAAAAATATGGAAATGATTTGCTTTGGAAAACCATGAACAAAGGGACAAAACCTGAGAAAGTAGAGGACAACAGTCTTCTGTTTGTGTGAACTGCTGTTCTGGATATGCCTTCAGGTTTAAGAGTCAAATCCAAAATGGCTTTGCAAGGACTCCTGAAGGCAGATAATTCTTCTGCCTTTTTTCCGTCATGAGGAATCGAATAATCCAGCCTCCTCTGGTCCCGTTGAATCTCTTTGGGAAGAAAGTAAATCCAGATCAGTGAATTGTGAAGTTGTGTAGCATCTGGCTTCTTCTAACTGTTTTAACTTTGAGATTAATTTCTTGGTCATGGCATCCAAGCAAATTCTCTTGCTGCACGTTGGGACCTAGTAACTGTTGGAAGCCGATTGTTTATTGTATTGTCTAACTAGGCACGGAGCCATTATTCTGATGAGCTTGTATCCTCTCTCTCCTTCAAGCCTTATGTGGGTGTCAGAAAAGCTTCTGCTCCCTTCTGTTTGGGAAAGGTGAGGCGTCATTTAATTCTGCATGACCCTTTCAGGTCACTACCATGTTCCTGCTGGGCAAAAATCCTTGGAAGAGACTGCACACTGTAGGTCAAAAAGATTTGTGGAGTTCTCTCATGTGTAGGGCAATCTGGCAAAAATATCCTGCTTAGTGTCCATCCATCATTACACCTGCCTCATCTGTAGCAGAGCTGTTTCTTTCCATCTGTGATTTTAAACAGTCAAGGATCAAGTTTGCCAGAAACCTCAAATCCAAACATCACATGGCCGCAAAGCACTGTTGTGGTACAAAACTGAATGCAAAGCTTAGAAATGCAAAGCTGCAGTTCTAACACCTGTGTATGTGTGTGTGCGTGCGCGCTCGCTCTGTATGAGTTGAAGCAGGCCTTTTCCAACTCAGTATTCTTCAATTGGGTTAGATCAGTGTTTCTCAGCCTTGGCAACTTGAAGATGTGTGAACTTCCAGCAAGGCTGGCTGGGGAATTCTGGGAGTTGAAGTCCACACGTCTTCAAGTTGCCAAGGTTGAGAAGCACTGGGTTAGATGGTAATTCCCATGAGTCCAAGTAAGTCTAATGGGAATTGCAGTCCTACACATCTGGAGCCCAACCGACTGGGAAAAGCTGGGCTAACCCATTTTAAAGAACATTCCTGCTCCTTGAAACATCAGCCAATTGAAAAGAATGCTGCTCTAAGAGCACTTTTGCAAAAGCAAAGTACTCTGACACATGGTTGAAGAAAATTGCCTAGATAAACAATGTTGGACTGGGATTATTAGAGGCCGGATGTAAGAGAAGGCTTATTTTGAATCAGATGTGCATTTTATTTATTAATGTATTATTTTCCATTACTTCTGTGCTGCGACAATAGCACATCTCTAAGTGGTTAACAAACCAATTATAACTCTCTTGAAAAACAATACAAAATTAAAATAGCATACTGCCAAACAGATGGAGGCTAAGCACAGATATTCATCTTCAAAGGCTTGTTGCAAGAACCACATTTTAACAGTTTTCTGGAAGATGACTAAAGTGGGGGCTCTCGGGTGGGGAGGGAGCTTGTACCATATGGTCAGGGCAGCAGTTAAAAGCATGATGTGTATGTGTGTGTAACATTCTTTCTTTTTTCTGGAAGATTACTGAAAAGTCAGTGTCTCTTTCTCTAAAGCATGTTTTGGCTATGAAATTACACATCAGGGGGGGGGGGGTTATAGAGAATTTTGTATCATATAAAAACTGCTGGATATATGCAGTTACCGTGACAAGTTTGCCTAAAGGTAAATATACAAAGTTGAGGCATTTGCAGCTCTCTTTTAAGTTAAATCAGAATCTGGCCAGGTGTGGTCTTTGCTCCAAAGCTGAGTATATATTACATATTCTTCTGTTTATTCAATCTCATTTATCTCCAGTGGCTGAGTCATGAACAGTTTCAACTGCATATTCTTTGCATAATAGTTTGCTGTTACTATTTATAATGTGCAAGATCACAAATTGCCTTTGAAAGTATATTTATCCTGCAAAGTTTTTGTTTTTGCTTGAGTTGCAATCCCACAGCTACAGGAGCTCTCTTCTTGATTTAAAACAGTTCTACCATCCAGTCCATTCTTCTTATACCGATACAGATTAGTTCTTTGAATTTTGGGCGGAGATAAAAACAAATATCAATTTGAATCTATTTCATACAGTACAACATCAAATATATTTCATATAGCACACAGACTTGTGCCAGCAGCAATTACACATCCTGGATAATTCAAGAGGGTTATATGTATGCTCAGTCTGTGTGATTTTCTCTCCTATTTTATGTCCATGGTGTTTTCTAAAGCGGATTTATAGGCTGTATGGATGGGAACCCAGGAGGAAAAAGAGCCCTTTCCAATTTAATCTTTGCTTCTGTTGTAGAATTTGGGTTTGAACAAACAAGCATCCAAATATCTTGATAACTGATTTAATTAGAAACTGTGTTGGGCATCCTGGTGAGTTTCTTCAGTTTAACCATTTGGCGTCTGTACAAAATGGTGGGTGTCCAGCATACACTAGGACTGTGCAAAGCATTCAGAAGTGATGTCTCGCATAACTTGTTGGTGCAAGTGAAGCACCCCTGTTCCATGAGGAGTTAAAAGCAACCATGTCCTCCAGAAGGCACATGACTGTTTCAAAGGTTTTCCCCAGTTGTCAGCCTATGTGGCAGGAGAGTGCAGCCATTTTTAAGCAAAGAGAAACTAAAAAGTGAACATGGACTTCCAACTCCCAGAATTCTCCAACCAGCATGCTGGCCAGGGGATTCTGGGAGTTGAAGTCCACGCATCTTAGAGTTGCCAAGGTTGAGAAACACTGGTTTAATATCTCCCCTCTGCCCTGTTCAGAATTACAGTATAAAAGCATTTTTAAAGGGGCTGGGTGCAAAGTTCATAGAGTCGTAGGGTTGGAACAGACCTTCAAGGTTTTCTAGTCCAATGCTCTACCCAGTACAGGAATCCTCATACCATCTGGGACAAATGGCCATCCAATCTTTGCATGAAAACTTTCAGTGATGGAGCATCCATGATTTCAGAAGGCAGGCTGTTTCATTGCTTACTAGTTCTCGCAGTCAGGAAATTCCTCCTTATTTCAAATTTACAACTCCCTCTGTAAAGCTTCCATCCACTGGTTCTGCAGGGAAAAAGTTGGATATGCAGCCGTGGGGCCACTGATGGTACACCCCAATATCTACAAATAGAAATCAAGATCTGAATTACTGTAGATCAGGAAATGCTCATCAAGACTGCAAAAACCTGGTTAAAGACTACCATTTAATACTTCTATTAACATAGGTAGGGAACACAGAGGTTAAGTGATTAACACATCACGGTGCATGTCTGGTTGTTTTTTTTCCCCCCCTAAGCTTTTGATTTTAGTCAGCTATTGTCGGGCTATGCAGGGTCAGAAATCCTTGGCAAATTTTCTGGTGAGGCTTCCCCTCCCCCTCCTGTTCTAGCTGTGATTGGAAAGTCAATTACTGTTATAATTTTCTGCCTCCTTCTTTGTCTCCTATCAGCTTTCGTTAAATTCATCCTCCACTTGTTCCTTCATCTGGTCCTCCTCTGCAACGTACTGTTGAGCCAAACAAGTGAAGAAAAGAGGAAAGGGGGTGCATTGTATTGATGGGTGTATCTTAACTCCCAGCATGTTCTGTGAAAGCCAAACAATGATGTACAGAAGGCAGATGATGATCTCTTAAATCCTTGTCTTTGTGCTCCGCCATTCCTAGGTGACTATGGAGATCAGTGGGCTCCCTCTAGAACTCTGGCGCTTAATACTATCCTACCTGCGCCTTCCTGACCTTGGCCGCTGCAGCTTGGTGTGCAGAGCATGGTATGAGCTCATCCTCAGCCTGGACAATACCCGGTGGAGACAGCTATGCCTTGGCTGCATTGAATGCCGGCATCCAAACTGGCCTAACCAGCCTGGCGTGGAACCCTGGTCATGGAGGGAAGCCCTGAAGCAGCATTATCTTGCTTCCAAAACCTGGACCAAAAACAGCCACGATCTTGAGTCCTCCAACTGCTTCTACTTATTCAGGAGGAAAAGGGACAGACGGGTTCTTTATGTTGGGCCTGGCTGTGAGTTTGACAGTCTAAGGAGTGCCTTGCTCTCAGCAAGCATGTATGACAGGATTGTGCTACTGCCAGGAATGTACGAGGAGCAGAGTGAAATCTTCCTCAAGGCCCCCGTGGAAATCATGGGAAAGGGCAAGCTCGGTGATGTGGCCCTCCTAGTGAGCTTTGACCAGCACTGCCCAACAATGAGGTTATGCAATTTGGTATTTATGCCAGCCTGGTTCACACCGGTAATATATAAGGTAAGTGTGAATGGAGTGAAGGATCCAAAGAATTATTCAGGTGAAGCAAAAATCTTGGGAAGAATAGTAATGCGAGAGCTGGAGACATCTGGGCAATGTGGCACAATCCACATGAAGGTTTTCACATGCAGATCATTCCCAATCTGATGCCTCTTAAATGCAACACCCCAGCATTCCCCACCAGTGTGGCAGTTGCTTCCTGGATGGCACCAGGCTGGAGAAGGGTTCCAGGGGCTCTAACCTGACATGGTGAATTACATCATCTGAAATTTCTGACTAGCCCAAGTTGGGCTGGATGTGGTTGGTGGGAATTGTAGTCAGCACCTCTGGATGGCACCAGGATGAGGAAGGGTACCCTGCTGTATTAAATCAGATCTGGGCAAGACATTTCTTTTTCAGTCATGAAAGCATAATGGGTTAGCCCTGGGGAAGAACCAATATTTGTTTCATTTCCATGCTGGGTTAGGAACTGTCTTTGATGTCCTGGTCTCTCTGTTTTAACTCCCATCATCACAAATAGAAGATAGCAGACTAGGGGGTTCTGTGCCTGTTTTCAGGCAATATTTCTTTGGAAAATGAGTTTCCTCTTAAGAGTGCTCTTTATTTTTCATTGTAAAATAGATTGATCTGGTTTTGTTCTCTCTTCTCAGACAACCTCAGGCCATGTCCAGTTTGACAATTGCAATTTTGAAAATAGTCAGCTGCAGATTCATGCTCCTGGGACCTGCCAGGTAAAATTCTGCACCTTCAATCAGTCCAGCATCCATTTCCATAGTGTGGCCATCTGTCTCCTGGAAAACTGTGAATTTGTTGGCAGTGAAAATGCTTCGGTGACAGTGGAAGGTAGCCCGTCTTTGGACAGGAACTGGGCCTGCAAGCACTTGACCTTGTTGGCAAAATCTCGCTCAGTCTTGCTGCAGCCAGCCGAGCCTTCGCATTGCAACGTAGCAAAGTTTGAGAGCCAAGGACCTCTGCCAATGGCAGACGTGAGGACCTGTGACATTGTGGTAGGCGAAGACCCAACTCGTGTATTTCCTGTTTCACAGACTCAAGCGGTGTCAAGGAGAGGCTTGGAGAAGGAGAAGGAGAAGGAGCTATCTGGGAACCTTAACACAGCACACAAAGAAGAGGCCATGACTATAGATACAGATTCTAGTGACAGTGAACTGAGCTTGAGCAGTGACAATGAGGACGAGGATGAGTCACTGTACAAACTGCCTTACCAGGCTCATAGCTTGAGCCACATGCTGGCCAAGGTTGTCCATGGTAGGCCACCAGCCAACGAATTACCAGCCCTCCAGAGTGACTATGAGCTAAAACCTTTGGCTCAGGAGCTGCAGCAAGACAAGGAGGCTCAGTGTCTCGCCAACACCATGCAAGGATGCCTTGTCCGGAAATGCCTTTTCCGAGATGGAAAAGGCGGCATCTTTCTTTGTTCCCAGGGGCAAGCCAGAGTGGAAGGAAGCATCTTCAGGGACCTGACCTATGCCGTGCGATGCATACAAAACAGTAAGGTGCTGTAAAAGGCAGGAAGAGATCTTGCGTGCTGTAGTTAAACCTAGAGGGGTATTTAGCAGGTTTTTTTAAGGCCAACATGACCAGCCTTGAAACTGTACCTACAAGTGTTTGTGAATGTGTATGGCAGCCTGGTAATATTTTCCTAACTGCACCCTTTTAAAACAAGATGACAGATATCTTGAAGGGAATAATTCTGGTTAGTTTTTTTTTTTTAGTTGGATTTTTGTCTGTTGCATGGCAGATTAACTTAATTTGTTAATGAGTTGCCTGATATTGCACGGTGATGTTAATCATAGGAGAGACAAAGGTGCATGAAAGATAGTGAAGCCTCACCCTGGTCATATTTTGAATCTTCTGCCACGGCTCTGCTGGCTTAAGAGTATCTCCAAGCCTTGGATATACATTTTCAAGGATAACGTCATCAATACATTGAATAAATAGAAGAGCTAGAAATGTTTTTTTAAACATCCAATAGAAATGGTAAGGAGAGTTTCCTAGGAAGTAGGGTTCTGCAACTTTTCCCTCTTCCCTGTTTTGAAATTGCACACCCAACCTGCCATGCAGGTGTGTAAATAGGAAAAAATAAAACATTTCTGAAGCCTTGTTGGGGCTGCATTTAGTTTGGTGGGTCACACATGACGAAGGCCTGGCTCAAAAGCACTTTGGCTTTCGCAGGAGAATATCAAACACAGAGCATTTCTTCACTTTTTAAAAATAGGGTAGTTGATCTGTGAATCCACCTTGTTCCTTCATCACCATCCTACCTATTGCACATCACACACACACACACGCCCTAATTTTCCAATTCCATGCTGAGCTCGGTGAAGTGATCTTGATCACGTCGTTCCTCTTTTGCAAATCCCACTTCACCATACCGACAAGTGCCTTATTTAGCACAGGAGGCTGTGTGTGAATCATTCCTGAGAGGCAGAACTTGGAAACAAAGGCAGGGTCCTGACAGCTCTCCTGGGTTGTTGTTTCTACTGAGAAGAATTTGAGGCACCCAGCGAGAGAGTTGGGGAAGGGAGAGGAATAGCTGCACAAGATTTATGGCTTATGTCTTAAAGCCTGCCTGGGTCTTTTCAGCCGTCTGGCAACCACACCATGGCCTTCTGTTTAGCAAGACTTGGGCGTTTAGAACTAGCCCCTTTGCTTGTGACTGTTTGCCTAGGGAGCTGACAGAGGCTCAGGGTCCTATTTATTCAAAGCGTATTGGGAGTTTGTAGCCAGTTGGACAGGTGAGCAGGGGGGAGATGGAAATAAAAGCTGAAGCACAATAATTGGTTGGCACTAACCCTCCAGGACAACTGCGATGCAATAATGCCTTGCTGCAGGCAAGCAGTGGAAAGACTTTCTGAAGGGCACCAGGCGTTACTTCTAGGACTGCTTTTTCTTTTTAAATAAAAGAAGCGCAGGAAACAGCAGAGGGATAACGTGGTGACAGCAGTCTTTGGGGTGAGGCAGCAGAGATGTTTGGAGCTGACATGGCTTTGGAGTGAAACGTTAATTGGGGGTTTGTGTGCCTGTTTCTGATGGCTCTATTGTTCCCAGGTGAAAATGCTTTGCAAAGTTACCCTTGCATTTTCCATCCCTGTGTTTCAAGGCAATAATTTACTTCAAAGAGAAGGGAGAAGGAAAGGCGGTGGGTGGGTTAGCTTAACGCCAGATGCAAAGGAGGGGCGGGGGATTTCTGATATCTGGGCATCTAATTTCTGACTGACATGGTTTACTCATCGAAGGAGCGCACCTGCCGCAGCCCCTCTCCTCTGGAATGGCATCTCCACGGATCTGGATGCCCCCTACCCTGGCCTTATTTAAATAGGCCCTTGAAGCCTGGCTTTTCCCCAGGCCTAAGGCTAGTGTGGATGGCAGGCCCCTTGTGGGAATGTTTTATGCCAGTGTTGTCCAAACTTGGCCACTTTAAGATGAGTGGACTTCAACTCCCAGAATTCC